ATTTTTCGAATCGTTGCAAGATGGTCTCACTGACTGAAAAGGACAAGGTTACCGTCCTCATTACCTGCTTGTCGGACTCGGCACTGGAGTTCATCATGGACGAGCTGGACGACAAACCGGGTAGCACTTCGGACGAGCTGCTGGCCGCGCTCAAGAGAAAGTTCAGCGACGAAACGACTGGAGCGCGTGCGCGCCAGCTACTGGCCGACCTGCGCTACACGGCACGCAGCGTGAAGGAAGTGGTCGAGACGGTTGAGAGGCTGAGGCGCATTCGCGGCATCAACATCACCGAGGACGGCATCAAGCAGGACTTGCTCGCAGCCCTACCGCCCGTCGTGTACGCCACCCATGCCCTCGACTGGTCCTTGGATGAGACGTTGGCGAACATCAAGGCCTCGATCCTGTATTCGATGCAATTCGAGCCGAAGCGCAGAAACAACGGCAACAGGGTGAGCGACAACACCCCCCTTGACAACAGCGACAACCGCGGTCACTACAACAGCAACAACGCCGGTCGCAATGGTGGCAGCTATGCGACTTACAACAATTCGGCTCGCGGCAACGGCAACGGCAACGGTAACGGCAACCGCAACGGCAACGGCAACAGGGCAGCGCACAACAACAAGCCGGGCCCATCGCAGCGCTCGTCCTCTTCGCCAATCACTGACAAGGAGCGCGCGGAATGCTTGGCGAAAGGCCTCTGCTACAAGTGCAGGGAGCCGGGTCACATTGCCAGCAGGTGCCTCACGCGTTTCTCCAAGAAGCAGCTCGCTGCCGCCCTGTTCGCGCACTGGGCTGCCGACGACAACGACGACGACGACGAGCCGCAGCAGCAAGGCCAGCAGGGCCAATCCCAGCAGGGAAAAGCCCAGCCCACCGCCAGGGCCATCTGACGAGTGGGCAAGAAAACGGCGCCTTTGTTTTTCCAGCTCGTGTTTGCAACCTGGACCGTCCCAAGTCCCAGCCTGTGAGCACGCCCGTTCTGGTTGACAGTGGCGCTACTGTAACGTTGATGGATGACGAGTTCGCAAATAAATTGTCTGTCAAACGTTCACGTATGGCCAAACCAATCACAGTCCAATCAGTCAATGGGCAACCATTGAAAATCGAGCAATGCAGAGTCGGCCTTTCGCTCGGCAAGCACCGTGAGGTGATCCAGCCTCTGATCACATCGACGCCAGTCGTACCTCTCATCCTTGGGGCGGACTGGCTGGAAAAGAACAACCCTCAAATCGACTTCAAACAACGAACAATGCACATCCCTGTGCAAAGCAGTCAGTCCTCTGCTTCGACACCCTCGACGGCCGGCTGTCGCCCTGGCCTCCTCCCTACGCCTCCCCACAGCGCGTTATTGACACCGACACTCACAGCCCAGCGTGTGGCAGCGCCGCGGCTGCGACAGAACCAGACAACACGAACAGCGCGTGGCGGGCGCACCAACGACAAGCGAACGGCAAAGCGCTTTGACACCGACGCGGCTCCTGCGGCCGCACCGACAGTGCCTCGCCCTGCGCAGGCAGCACCATCAGAACCAGCATCGAAAACTACCCCAGGAGGCAGCGACTCTGACGAGGTCAGAAACAGCGCAAGCAACACAGTCAGCGAAAACCCAATGCCTGCGCCGCCGCTGCTCCCACCCCCTCAGTCGCACCCAGGCCCGTCGCGCGGCACACCCCCAGAATCGCCGTCAAATTCTGAGTCTGGCGAGGCCACGCGCACACCGGCCAGCAGTGCACAGGCGGCAGGCGGGCGCGAGGAGACGACATCTGTGCCCAGCAAAATTTCTGCGTCGGTTTCTTCGCCTCCCTCGTCCCCCAGCGACGCCGCACCCCCCGCAAGCGGTATACCGTTGGAATCAGCGTCGCAAGCTGCATCTGATGATGTCCATGACGAGGCCGCGGACGACAACTCGGGTGACCGTGGTGACGAGAAAGACTGGTTTGACCGCATTCCCAAAGTGTACCAGTCGTTTGCATCAGTGTTTGACCCCGAAGCAGCTGCGCAGCTACCACCGCATCGTGAAGGCTATGACATGCACATTGAGCTCATGCCGGGCGCGAAGCTGTTCCACGCAGCAATGCGTCCGCAATCACCCGCGCAGCAAGACGCTCTGAAGAAGATGGTTGACAAGGGCCTCGCCAACAAGACCTTGACCACGTCCATCTCTGATGTCACATCAGCACCGGTCTTTGCCGACAAAAAAACTGGTGAAATTCGAGTCTGCTTTGACTTTCGCCCACTGAACAAGGCGACGGTGCGAATTCGCTATCCGACCCCCGATCCCATTCGTTTGCTCGAGCGCCTGCGCAAAGCGAAGATCATTTCCAGGTTCGATCTTACGTGTGCCTATGGACAGTTGCGCCTAACGAAGGCTAGCGAGAAGTTCACGGCATTCCAGGTCGATCGCAATGTGTTTCAGTCGCGAGTGATGCCTTTTGGACTGGTCAACGCACCCGCCGTCTTCCAGCGTTTTATGGATTCAGTGCTACGGCCGCTCGAGGACTTCGCTGGTGGCTACTTTGATGACTTGATCGTTTTTTCTGAAAGCGAGGAGGAGCACATCGAGCATGTTCGCGCTCTGCTCCGCATTCTTCAAGAGCACCAATTGTTCCTGTCCATCAACAAGTGCACGTTCCATGTCGACAAGGTCACGTTCTTGGGCTTTGAGGTCTCGCCTGAAGGCATTGCGGTTGACCCGGCCAAGATTGCTGCCATCACCAAGTGGCCAGCACCGACAAATGTGAAAGGCGTGCAAGAATTGCTTGGTTTTGCAAATTTTGTTCGTCGTCACATTTGGCATTTTGCTGAAATTGTTCGACCCCTGACATCGCTGTTGGGCAAGAACACGCCCTTTGTGTGGACACCTGAGCGTGAAGCGGCTTTATCAGCTGCTGAAGCGT